TCTCGCGAAAAAAAAGCTGAGCACATTCATTGAGCGTTGTCATCAGGGTCTCATTCGCCATATCCATTGCTTTGCTCAGAGGTAACTGGCGTATAGATTCCCATTTCGAACCCAAGCTCCTTTTCAACGCTCTTGAGATCTTCAGCACGTTTCCGGCCTCGCTGCGCCATCGTCGATAAAGCTTCACCACTAAACCGAATTCGATCAGGTATGACATACTTAGTCTGAACATACTCATGTGGTATACTGCATGCCAGCGGAATATGATCCCACAACTTCGCGTCATGATGCGATTGAAGTCTCCGCGCAGAGTACTGGTACGTGCGGCGCCACGATACATGACCAGCAAGCTCACGCGGGGCTATGATATAATCCAACGTTGTTGGCTCACTGGTGGCTCCAAAATACGTGTCTCCAGCGTTCCACTCAGAATTAATTACTGTAAGCTGATGAGCTTGACACATAGACAACATATTTTCCATCCCAACATGCATCGGCCCATTAGCAAGCTGTCGTGTGACCGATTCTAGAAACTCGAACTGTCCGCTCGCGTCGCACAGGATGAGCGGGGTCCATCTCGCTGAAACCGATGCCATCGCGAAAACAATCCACTTACTCATGGTCTCTATTGTACGAACCGACTGCTTCTTTTTCTCTGCACGCCTCGGAACTGGTGGGCAATCAAGAAGAAACGTGGCTAGTTGTACTCCCTCCCTCTCAAGTCTAACTCCAGTCGCTCGACCTTGGGTCCCCGAGGAACCTGCACACAACTTCGAATCTGCCTGGGTGTGAAGAGACGTCTCTTTATCCATAGAGCAACTCCACAACTTCGATTCGTATGTTGTCCCCGCCCCCATCCCCATTCAATAGACCAGTGCTGCTCATACTGCCGATGTTCTCGCTCTCGCTCTCCTGCCCGCTGTTGTGTTCCTATCAAACCGATGATATCGCCATTGCGCAGTTATGATATGATATCCTGACTCCGAGTGACGTTCGCCGACTGCGGGCTATATTGAATAACAGTAGTGCCACGGTGGGCGCCCGATGCCCCATCATCTGAAGGCGACATGCTTCTATGCCATTGCTGCAGACGAGTGTTCTGAAGGCCGCTTGCGCGGGGAGGCAATCCCCCCAGTGCTCGACAGGAATATGGCTCCTCCTCCTCCTCCTCCTTCTCCTCCTCCTCTTCCTCCAGCAGGAGGCCGGGCCACGGGCGGCGCTCGGCCTGGAGCGCCCGCGGCGGGGCCGGCCGAGCGTCGACGCGACGCGGACCTGCCGAAGCTCCGCACCCCCGGCGGGTGACATGCAGCAGGGGCCCGACCACAAGAAGCCGTCCACAAGAAACGTAAGGACTCGAGCACGATCCATCTGCGGCAACTCGTGGGAGCCTCCCATACCATCTTGTTCCGTACCATTGACTGCCATACGCTAGCCGACGCTAGTGCGCTCGAAAGACGGAATTACGAGGGTAATTGTACAAGGCTCCCATGATTTGCCACCAAAGTTCCCCGCATGCCATCAAATGGTGTAGATCATTCGGCATTGTGGAAATTAACCAAAAAAGAGCCCCTGACCCTTTGGGAGGGGGCCTAAGTCAAGAGGGCCAAAAACATTGGGGATAGGGAGTTTTGTCTGCAGATGGGCCACTCCAGACCGCACAGATGTATTATCAGTGGCCTTCGGTGCGCAGCCTCTGGGGGCCCGACCACAAGAAGCCTTCCACAGGAAACCCAACCCCAAGACCCGAGGACCTGCATGGATTCTTTCGGTTACACGTAAGAGTGACCCTGGGTAAGAGTGGCCGTTGGTGCGCAGCTTTTGGGGTCCCGACCACAAGAAGCCTTCCACAGGAGACCCAGCCCTGAGACCCGAGGACGTGCAGGGATTTTTGTCGGCTACGCGTGAGAGTGACCCTGGATAAGAGTGGCCGTTGGTGCGCAGCTTTTGGGGGTCCGACCACAAGAAACCTTCCACAAGAAACCCAACCTTCAGTCAGGCCTGTCCCCCTACAGGGGGACTTTGGACGAAAAATTTGAAACATCCTAAACATACAGCAAAGATGCTCAAACCTAGTCAAAAATGGCCCCCAGACTATTGTTTGACTATTTTTGAATACTCCTCCTGTAGAGGGACAGGCCCGACTTAAACCCAACCCTGAGACCCAAGGAGGTGCATGGATTTTTGGTGTGGGCACCTCGCGCCTGCCACAGCAGAACCCTCGAGACCCAAGAAACTCAGGGCACCCTGGGGGCAAGCAGGGTGTTTGGACGCCCGAAATCGGCACGGAAAGAATGGGTACAATGCCCAACAACAGATGTTGTCCCAAACCAACAGAGGCCGCTGTTGGGCAGGCGGCCCTCTGTCTCAAATGCACACAGGCCGCGGCGGCGCGGACAGCGAGTCCTGTTCAAAATGAACAGGAACTGCTGTTGTGCATTGTACCCATTCTTTCCGCACCCATGTCGTTCGTGCAGACACAAGAAACCTTCCACAAGAAACGCAGCCCTGAGACCCAAGGACGTGCATGGATTCTTGGTGCGGGCACCTCACGCCTGCCACAGCAAAGCCCTCGAGACCCAAGAAACTCAGGGCACCCCGGGGGCATGCACGGCGTCTCTTGGCATGGGTCTCCACTGCAGGCAGTCCCGGGGCTCGTAGGCGGCCGCTGGAGGCCCAGGCCAGAGGAGCAACAGACGACCTAATCACACACGTCTGAAGGTCCGCGCGGATCTCTTGGGCCCAAGGCGCGGACCCAAGAAATCCGCGCGACCCTTCGAAGTTGTATATTCATGCAGCCTCTTCTTCGTCTTCCTCCTCCTGTTCTTCTTCTTCTTCTTCGAGCCATTGGAGGCCGAAGGCGCCGAAGAACCTCCTCATCATTTCGGGCCATAACTCGGATCGGCGGCAGCCGCTCGGGACGACCGGGGCACCCCTGGACGCCGAGCGGCGACGCGCAGCTGCTGGACACGAGTCGGAAAACCCATGGCAGTGCATGGAGACGCCCTAAAACGAAATCTGCGACCAACGCCCCTTTTTCAGCACGTCGGGCCGCCCTCCGCGAGGAGTGCGGCCACCGGCCGGGCCTCGACTCCTTCGGCTACACGCAAGAGCGACCCTGGATAAGAGTGACCCTTGGTGCGCGGCTCCTTGGGGGCCGCGGGGGAACCAAACTCGAGCGCGCAGGACGCTAATACCGCATCGCGTTTGGCGATCGGGGGGCCCCAGATCGCCCCCGGGGAGGAGGAGGATGAGGAGGAGGAGGAGGATGAGGAGGAGAAGGAGGGGGAGGAGGGGAAGGATGAGGAGGAGGAAGAGGAGGAAGAGAAGGAGGGGGAGGAGGAGGAGGAGAAGGAGGAGGAGGAGGTGAGGGGCAACGTTCGGCTCGGGCCCGCACCAAAGGTCACTCCGGCGAAAGGTCCCTCTTACGTGTGGTCGACTCCTCCCCCCGGGGGCACTCTCTCGTGCCCGGGGGCCGGTCTTTGTCTTGTATGTCCCGGGGGGGGGGCGGGCCACGAGCCCCGGAGGCCGAGGCCGAGGAGAATCTGCGGGGACCCAGCAGGACTTCAGCCGGGCATCCCACTAGCATTAATTCGGGCCTGTCCCCCTACAGGGGGATTTTCGACGAAAAATAAAAAATACACCAAAAATGCCCCAAGAAGGTCAAACAGTACTCAAACAATAATCCCCAGACTATTTTTTTGATTATTTTTTGACTTTTTTTGGGGGGGGTATTTTTTTTTGTCGTCGAACATCCTCCTGTAGGGGGACAGGCCCGAATTAACACTAGCAGCAAAGGCTGGGGATCTGGAAGTAGACAAAAAAACCAGAAAAGGGCACGAGCGCAAACTTGTGGCGCTCCGCGCGGTGTTCTTGGATCCGCGCCGGACCCCCCTCCCTGGCGCGCGGAGCGCGCCAGGGGCGGCGCCGGAGGCGCCGCTGGGGGGGGGGGCCCAGCGCGGATCCGAGGCATCCGCGCGGAGCGCCAAAAGTTTGTGTCTATACTGTTTTCCTTCTCTAATTTCAGGTCCCCGGCCTTTGCTGCTAGTGGGGTGCTTTGCTGAGGTCCTTCTGGGTCCCCGATAGCATTAGGTCGGACACGTCCCCCAACAGGCGGATTTGGGATGAAAAACAAATGCGCAGCAAATTCTAGAAAATAGTCGACACATCGTCCCCATACATTTTTGGACTATTTTTGAATGTTCCTCCAGTGGAGGGACATGCCCGACTTCACGATAGCAACAAAGGCTGGGGATCTGAAGTGACGAAGAACTGGGGGCCCTGCCGTGCAAAGCGGCTGCCAGCCTGGGGGGGGGGAGCTGGGCATTTGCTCAGACTCCCCGCCCCCGCCCACGTGGGGCTCTCCTCCGTTTTTTATTTGTTTTGTTTTTTTGTTTGTTTGTTTCTTTTTTGGGGTTTCACTCCAGCAGATAAGAGCTCTCTTGCGAAGCGCGGGGGTCAGGTCATTGGACACTTGGCGGCGAGCGAGGGGGGGAAACGAGAAGCAGAAGGCCTTCTCAGAAGGCGGCGGGACTTCTGAGAAGCCCTCGCGCCTTCTGAGAAGGCTTCTGCGTCTTCGGGAAAGGCTTAGAAAACCTCTCCGAAGGCCGGGGGACTTCCGAGCCTTCTGAGAAGGCCTTCCCCTTCCCACTTGCCCCCCTCGCTCGCCGCCGAGACAAGGAATCCAGGGCCTGAAAAAGCAGCCTATGGGGCACCGACCGAGGCTTGGCTACGGAGATCACCGTCGCCCGTTCCAGAGACGGGCTCCTCCAGGGTCTGCAGCCTCCTGGGCACATCCCATCAAAGAAAAAGACAAACCACATGAGCAGAAACTTTTGGCGCTACGCGCAGACTTATTGGATTCGCGCTGGACCGCCCTCCCTGGCGCGCGGAGCGCGCCAGGGGCGGCGCCGGAGGCGCCGCCGCCAGGGGGGCCCAGCGCCGATCCAAGAGATCCGCGCGGAGCGCCACACATTTCTGCTTATGTTTTTTTTTTTGTTCTTCGACTTCACCAGCGCCCCCACCACAGGAAGGACAAAGAGCACACCGCCGGGGAGAGCCGGGCCCGCGCCGCTTTTCCCAGCACGTCGGGGCGCCCCTCCCGCGGGGGGGAGCGGTGCGGCCGCCGGGGGGGGTGCGCGGAGGCCCGCGGCTCTCTCAGCCGCCCGGCGAGGAGCGCGCGCCGCGGGGCGTCTGCACGAGCGAGGCGTCCGCGTCCGCGAGGATGGCCTTGGCGCTGCGGAGGGAGGCCACCTCGGCCGGAGGGGCGGCGGGGGCCCTCGATGCTCCTCGCAGGCGATGCTCCTCTCCCACATCCTCCTCCCTCCTCCTCCCTCCGCCTGCGCCTCCCTCTCTCGCTTCCGTCTCGTGCTCTGCCTCCTCCCTCCTCGTCGGTGCTCCTCGTTCCTCCTCCTCCTCCTCCTCCTTCTCCTCCTCCTCTTCCTCGTAGCTATTTTCTTCTTCTTCTTCTTCCTCCTCCTCCTCCTCCTCATTCTTCTTCCTCATTCCTCCTCATCCTCTCCTCCTCCTTTTCCTCCTCCTCGTTCTCCTCCTCCTCCTCCTCCTTTCCATCCTCCTCTTCCTCCCCATCATCTTGTCTTCCTCCTTTTCCTCCTTTACTGTCAGCTTGTGATTAATAAGTCGTGCCGCCTCCTCCCAAGGCTGATGAACAGACCCAGCGGCGCGCGAAACTAATTCTTTCAATCATGCGCGCCAGGGGGTCGTCGCGGGCGCCGCCGAGTGAATCGTGTACCCCCCTGCACTGCAGCCTCAACACGATTGCCTGTCATACAGCTGTTCTACTATGGGTCTTATACATCCGAGGCACAGATTTCCCCCCTTCTCAGGCTGATTACTGATGTGCCACAGTGGTCGTCGTCGTCGTCGGGGTCGTGGTCGTGGTTGTGGTGGTTGTGGTCGTCGTCGTCATGATGGTGGTGGTGGTCGTCGTCGTCCGTCGTCGTCGTCGTTGTCGTCGTCGTCGTCGCCGTCGTCGGCTACACCGGGCATTCGCAGTACCCCACTTTCGTGAGGAATCTGCAGTGCGTCGTCGTCGTCGTCCTCCTCCTCCTCCTACTCCTCGTTGTCCTCCTCGTGGTGGTGGTGGTGGTCGTCGTCGGCGACTACAGCGGGACTGCGCAGCACCCCCCCCCCCCATGAGGCATCCGCAGTGCGTCGTCGTCGTCGTCGCCGTCGCCGTCGTCGACTACAGCAGGCCTGCGCAGCACTCCACCGCCATGAGGCATCTGCAGTGCGTCGTCGGCGTCGTCGTCGTCGCCGTCGCCGTCGTCGTCGTCGTCGTCGTCGTCGTCGTCGTCGTTGTCGACTACAGCGGGCCTGCGGGCCTTCGCAGCACCTATGCGGGCATGCGCAACCCCCCCACCCCCATGGAGTATCCGGTGCGTCGTTGTCCGCCGTCGCCGTCGCCGTCGCCTTCGCCGCCGCTGTCGCCGTCGCCGTCGCCGTCGCCGTCGCCCTCGTCGCCGTCGCCGTCGTCGTCGTCGTCGTCGTCGTCGTCCTCGTCGTCATGGGACATCAGACATATTGTAGTGTTTGGGGGGGGAGGGGTGGAGAAGGAGAAGGAGGAGACGTTGCCGCCTGCCTCTGCCGCTTCTGCCCCCTCTTTCCTCGTTTGTTTGTAGCCATGTCGGCACCGCTGGCGCCTCTTCCTCCCACCTCATGTTTCTCTCCTGTCTGTATCCATGTTCGCCCAACCGCCCCGCTGCAGCGGGTGCGCTGCTGTCCCCCCCGCTGAAGCGGCGCTACTTGCGTCGCACCTGTCGCCCTCCAGCTGTTGGCCGTGTGCTGGCGCTGATCACTGGCGCCGCCGTGGTGTGTTTCTACGAAGCAGGCGCCCCCCCGAGATTCGCCCGATCAGGGAGAACAAGTTTTTAATCACGCGCCTGACCTTGTTATTCTTAATCGCAAGCTGCATTACCTCCTCATTCCTCCCCCTCCTTCTCCTCCTCTCCTCATCCTTCTCTCCATGTTCCTCCTTTACCTCCTCTGCGTCTCATCCTGAAACCTCTTCATCCTGCTCCTGCCTCCTTCTCATCCTCTTCCTCCTCCTCGTCCTCCTCCTTTTCCGTCCCCTCCTCCTCATCCTCCTCCCCGTGCTCCTCCTTTACGTCCTCTGCGTCTCCTCGTGGAGTATCTTCTTCCTGTTCCTCCTTCTCCTCCTCCTTCTCCTCCTCCTTCTGCTCCTCTTCCCCCCCGCCTCCTCCGCCTCCTGCTCCTCTAACCTATGTTATGTTGGACGTTTTGGATCCACCTCCAGCCGCCAGATGCCTCTGGAGGCCTCAACCCTTGACCGAGGACCGAAACTTCTGCGCGCCTTCTGGCCCTTCCCTTGGGGGGGCCTGGAGACCTCCAGAGGACCCTCGGACGCCCCGTGTGACTTCTGGAGGCCTCGGGAGGCCTCTCTGGAGGCCTCAGGACCCGGGCGCCGTGGGACCGAGCACGGCTGGCGCTCTCGCCCCGTCGCGGGCCCCTGTGCCCTCGCGCACGAACCCCGTCTCGCTTCCAGAAGGTGCCGCAGGGAGGGTGGGGCCGAGAGCTCCGCGCTCGAGTTGTCGCAGCGCTACGTCTCGCTCCGTGGCGCTGGACCTTCCGCACTCGGGGGCCACTCCCCGGCGCCGACCTTTTTGCCGGGCCAGTCCCTGCCGGCCCAGGCTCGGTGCACACGCCTTCTGCACGGAGGTCCGCGGCGACGGCAGGACCGAACACCGGCCGAGCGGACAGCGGAAGCGAAAGCGATCGAGACTGACAGACCGAACGCGGCCCAGAAGGGCGCGGCGACGCAGCAGCCGACCGAACCGAGCCGACCGAGTGCAAGCCAGCTGCGACGCAGCCGACCGACCCGAGTCGCGGGCACCCTGGTTGGAGGCCAGGCCCAGAGGGGACGTGTGCACCGACCCTGGGCTCAGGACTGGCCTGGGCAGGGCCGAGGCTGGTGAACACTGTTGGCGTCCCCGGGACCTCGTCGGAGCGGACTCGCCTCAGCAGCTCGAAGTCCTGGGAGGAGGGACATGAAGTTGACCAGCACCACCGAGCCTCCACGGGCCTGTTCTGGGCCTGGCGGGCAAGGAGCTCAATGCTGGTTCCTGCTGTGGTGACGTCGGCGCTCGTTTCTGACACCGCGTGGATAGTTCGACCTCGATCGTTCGCGGCTTTCCGCTGGCGCGGAGCTTTCGATGTCGGCCGACTTGGGGCCACCGGCTGCGTTCAGCCTTGCACGCCTGCGCTTGGGTCGCCGCCGCGTCAACGCGGCGGTGATGGCACTGTACAGCCACCAAGATATGGGCCCAAACTGGGCCTGTGGAGCTCGTGCAGCACTGGTCAAATTCTCCCCCCCGAAGTCCTTCAGCAGCCCGTCACACTCCTTGTGGAGTTCCACGGTGTACTCCGTGTGGTCACCGAGATCCTTCTGCTTGGCTTTGATGCCCAGCTTCCAGTGGTGCATCTTCTCCTCGAGCTTTACCCGGACGGCCTCCCTGGAGGCGATGGCCTTGATGTCCGTCTCGCGCTTCTCCGAAGCGAGCCCCTGGGCGATCTCGTACTCCTGCTGCGCCTCCTTCTCCCTCTTCTTCATCGCCTCGGTGTCCTCGTCCAGCTCCCTCACCTCGGGGGCGGCCAACAGGGGGGCGTCCAAGGGGGGGGGCGCAAATCATGACCGGCGGCATGTGCGCGGCCCAGGGGCGGGGCCAGGGACGTTATGAAATAGGAAGAGGCGCCATGAAATCTGGGGAAATATCATGGTCCCCGCCATGATATCCTCCCCCCCTAGTCGTCCCCCCCCTCTTTGCCGCCCCCGCTCACCAGCGTGTCGATGAGCGCCAGGACGTCCCCCGGGCCGCCCTTGTTGGCGAAGGGGCCCAGCTTCAGCGTCCAGGCGTTCGCTATCGGCTGCTCTGGGCCGCCCCCGCCCCGCGCGGCCAGCTGCGCGAACACCGGCGCGGCCCCGAACGCCTCCAGGGCGACGTCGCTGGCGCTCTCGGCGCCGCCCTCCGCGGCGCCCGGCGAGCGGGCCTGCGCGGCGCCGGCGTCGGCCGTGGCGTTGGCCTGGATCTAAGTCGGGCGTGTCCCCCTAGAGGGGGATTTTCGACGAAAAATCAACAATACCCCCAACAAATACTCCAAAAGGGTACACAAGCTCAAAAACTAGTTCCCGGACTATTTTTGGACTATTTTTACATGTTCCCCCTGTAGAGGGACAGGCCCGACTGAAGCCTGGATCAGCTGCGCCCTCTGGCCGTAGAACTGCTCGAGCCGCATCCTGGCCATGATCAGCACCTCCTTGGCGGCCACCTGCTCCGACAGCGCGTTGACGTAGTCCTCGTTCTCGGCCTTCCGCTGCGCGGTGGCCTCCTGGACCTGCGCGTCCAGGGCCTCCAGCCCCTTCTGGAGGGCGGCCACCTCCTCCGCGAGGACGGTCAGCTGCTCGGCGCCCTCGTCTGTTTCCTTGGAATGCCAACATCTGGAGGGGGGTGGCTGGCTCAGGGGGGGGAAACATCGACCTGGAATCGGCGATACATTGTCGATAGAGCCGCGATTGGCCCCCGACAGCGAGTCCGCACATCCCTGGGCGGGGCGGGCTAGCGGGCCCTGTCGGCGATCCATCGGCAATTGGGGGTCGCTGTGTCTGCCCCTGAGCTGAGCCTGTCCCCCCCTACACTCAACCCGTATCATAAGGATTCGCGGTAAGGATGCAACGGCCCTGGAAGGGCTTCTCGAAGCTTTTCGAGCGGGGCGCGGCCAAAGAAAGAGGCCAAGGATGGACCGATGAGGCAAGGACGCAAGGATACTCTTGGGAAGGTTACCCATCTTTCCTAGCCGGGTTGAGCGTATCGACGTTGCCCCTGATCCTTCTGGTGGTCCGAGATCAAGTTCTCCAGGCCTCGGCGCTCGTCGTCCGCCTCCTCCAGGCTCCGCTGGCAGTACGCCCTCTTTTTGTCCTCGGCGGCCTGCTCCTCCTGCAGCTGCTCGACCTGTAATAATCAAGACCACGTACACATACCGTATATACATGCGATCAGAAATCCAGCCATAAGAAATCTATGGGCACGTTGGCTGACGATCTTTAAGCTTCCTAAGGTGCCCCTGCGGATCCCTGGGGCCACCGGGGGATACCCTGATTTGATGTGCCTGCTGTGAGCATGAGCGTTCGGAGGTCCGCGCGGAGTTCTTGACTCGGCGCTGGGTCCCCTTCCCCGCGGCGCGCCGGGGGATCCAGCGCAGACCCCGGAGATCCGCGAAGACTCCGGAGCGCTTCTGCTCGTGCCGCTCTTGCTCCTCCCACGGCCATGCCCGTCACCATCTGGATCACCTTCTCGAAGCCCATCTGCCTCGCCCTCAGGCGCGAGCCTGCGCGGAGCCGCACGCGGCTGCTGACGGCGAGCAGCGAGAGGCGCGCGTCGCCGCCCCTGGGCCAGCGACTCCAGAGGGCGTGGCCAACCGGCACCCCGGGGAACACCCTGGGGGGCACCCCGGGGGGCGCGCGGGGACCTCGACGGAGTTCTCCCGCGCCCCGAGGAGGCCCGACGAGGACAATGTCGTGCCCCCCGGGCCCCCAAAGGTGCCGATCGGAAACCACACCCCGGCGTAACCCATACCCTTTGTAGTCGCCGCGCCTGGCGGCCTGCCCCAGCAGCTCCTGCGTGCGGCAGGGCGCCTCCTCGGCGCCCGCCGCCCCGCGCAGCTGCAGGAACGAGGGCACCGGCGCCGGGGGCACCGGGACGCTCTTGGACAGCACCGCCTTTAGGAGAGGAGGACGAGGAGGAGGAGGAGGAGGAGGAGGAGGAGGAGGCGGAGGAGGAGGCGGAGGAGGAGGCGGAGGAGGAGGGGGAGGAGGAGGAGGAGGAGGAGGAGGAGGAGGAGGAGGAGGAGGAGGGGGCGGAGGAGGCGGAGGAGGAGGAGGAGGAGGAGGAGGAGGAGGAGGAGGAGGAGGAGGAGGAGGCCCTCCGCGGCCGGCAGAGCACCCTGGGCCCCGCAGTGGAGAGGGAAGAGCTGGGGGCACCTTGGGCCAGGGACGCCTTCAACAACCCACGACCACCTGCGTGGCCTGCTCGTTGAGCAGCCGGATCGCATCCGCTATGGCCACGCTCTCCTCCTTGTGGAAGTTGACCCGCAGGGACCACTCGGCCTTGTTCTGCTCGCAGTTCTTCTGCGTCTCCTGGAGTATTTTCACGTTCTCCTCCAGTATCGCCGCCGTCTCCTCCCGGTCCTCCACGTCGTTCACGATGGACAGGCTCAGCTCTCCCAGGCGGGTGCTCTTTTCCTTGACGACGCTGTCAGTCGTTGCGATCTGCCCCAGCTTGGCAGCCTCGATGTTCTCGAACGCCTGCTGGGCCTCCTGGTCGGCCTGGTTCATATCCTCGAGGTCCTTGGCCATGCTCTCGGCAAGCTGCCTCATGATGCCTAGCACCTCGTCCAGGGAGCTCCCCCCGGACTGCTCGCCGCCCTGGAGGAAGGCGATGACCGCGTCCCTGTCGTCCTTGACTATGCTGTCCTGCGCGGCCACCACGCGCTGCAGCGAGGCCACCTGCTAGGGGTCCCCAAAGCCTTGTGGTGATAGGCCGCGCGGTGACCTTGGAATCCCAAGAGACCTCGCTGCAAGGTCCGTCACCGCAAGGTCTTGGGACCCTCGAGGCCATGGTCTCCCGAGACGTCCTCGGAGAACGGCTCGAGTCCCGAAACCGCGCGGTGACCCGAACCCCCACCTGACTCACCACGCTGGCCCTCCTCCGAAAATTTGGGCTCCAGGCCATGACTCTGGTCTCTGGCGGCCGTTCGGCCCGCTGGAAGCCATCCCGAGGCCAGACAAGCCGCCGAGAGCCGACGAACACGTCCGAAGCCTCGAACCTCGAACCCCCCCCTGAGCCTGTCCCCTGTCCCCCCTCACGTTTTGCCCACCACGCGGTGTGGTCACCGCACCGTTTGGGGGCCCCCCCGACCCCCAGAAGCCCGAGCCGGAGGCGAGCGCTGGGAAGGCCGCCGCCACCGCCTGGAGCGGCGCGTGCCTCTCGAAACCGCACCTCGAACCCCCCCGAGCCTGGCCCTGCACCGTTCGACGGGCCCCCGACACCTGGGCGCGGTCCTGCAGCAGCGCGCTGGTGCCGGCGCTGCTGAGCGACGCCACGGCGTCGTTCAGGTTCTTGACGTGGGCCGCGGTGGTGGCCGCAGCCTTCTCGTGCGCGGCAGCCTCCCGCTTGCGGGTCTCCCTCGCCTCGCCGAGCGTGGTCTCCGAGTCCGCGCGCTCGGCCCTCGCGTGGGCGATGTCCGACTGGAGCTCGGCCTGCTCGGCCCTGCCGCCCTTGATGGCGCTGTCGAGCTGGGGCAACTTCTCCGTCGCGTCCGCGGCGCTCTGCCGGAGGGCCCCGATCGTGGAGGAGCACTGGCACATGGCCTTGCTGAAGAGGCCCTCCTCCTTCGCGAACTCCTCGTCGGCCTTCTGGCGGCGCGCACGACATGCGCTTTCTTCACTGCGCGGCCTCCAGAAGGTCCCCACCCGTCCCCGGGGGGCAGCTTTTTCGTCCTGGATGTAAGTCGGGCGTGTCCCCCTACAGGGGGATTTTCGACGAAAGATAAAACAATTGTCAACAAATATCCCCAAATGGTCAAACAATACTCCCAAAATAGTCCCCAGACTATTTTCTGACTATTTTTGAATATTCCTCCTGTAGAGGGACAGGCCCGACTTAATCCTGGATCCATGCTTGATCATCTTTCTCAAGAGGCCGCCCCGCCCGCTGACGAAGTCCCACCTCCTCCTCCTCCTCCCTCCTCCTCCCTCCTCCTCACTCCTCCTCCCTCCTTCTCCGCCTCCTCCTCCGTCCCCGTCGCCCTGCGGACCCTCGGGGACTGCCTTCCCAGACTGACCTCCGACGCCGTGGTTGTTTTCGCAGCGTGGGCCACACGGAAGCATCGGCCCTCTCCCCGAGGCCAGTGCTCCGTCCTGCGGCTTTCCTTCACGTCCCCGGGGCCGGCAAAGGCCCCTTTGTGTCTTTCGCACGTCCGCCAGCGCTGTCGCGCGCGTGCACCAGAAATAAACACGGGTGCTACGACACCAGCTGGCTCATAGCGACCCCGAGGGCCACCCACCGTGAAGCTGAGACACGCTGGCAGAGGCCCTGCTCAAGCTGAAGATCGTCGAACGCCGTCCGTCGTGTGCCTGTCCGCAACGCGAGGAAGTCTACAGCCTCCTGGGGCCCCTCCTGACTGGCCTCTCCAACCGCGCCCCGGCACGCGGCGGCGAGGACCTTCCGACCCCGAAAGCCGCCACAGGCCTCTGCCAAGACCATTCTGCGCCGTGACTTCTTCGCAACATGGCTCTCTGGACCCTTTCCTGGGGACTGGCTCCTCATCTTGGATTGTTCCTTGACGGCCCCAGGTCCCGCAAGGAGGGCCCCCTAGAGGGCGAAAAACTTCGAAAAGCGTCCGGTCGCGTTTTTTTTCCGTTGTTAGTGCTGCTGCTGATGTTGTTGAGCTCTCATGTGTTAAATCATTATAGTTGATCCCCCCCTCCGGTAACCATTGTATTTTTCAAATAGAATGCTTCTCCTGGGTTTCGCACCCTCCTTTTAACAAGAGAAAGTGAAGGGTCACCAAACTGCGTCGTTGGGTCCCGAGTTACAACAACAACGGCTCCTGGCCGATACTTCCTCGCAATGTATTCCCATATCGTGCTCTCGCGCGGGACTTCCTCACAATTTATACAAGAATCGCGCTCTCGCGTGGGACTTCCTATTCAGACACCGCGCCCTCGACACTCAGGAATCATGCTCTCGCTGTGGATTTTCTTACGATTCGTGTGGGAATCGCGCTATCGCTCGAGAATTCCTCGCGATTCATGCAGGACGCACGCTTTGGCAACCCGCCTGCCTCATGTCCCTCTTTTCCATATGTTTTTTCTTACCCTGCCTTAGGGGCTGCACGAAATAAAAGCTGCAGGTAAGAAAGATGTACCCCTAAGGGGGCACGATCGAAGACGAAGAGGACGGGCATCGAGGGTTTGCGATATACGTGTTGAATGGCACGCGAGCAGGTACGAGCGAACCGTCTCAACATGTCTGTTACTGTTGCTGATGCTGTTGAATATTCATTTCTAGAAAATGATTACATATTGTTGGTCTCCGGGAACGGTTCCGCGCGGTCTCACCTCGACGCCGGCTAAATTTTCCTTGAAAACGAAGCTCCCGCGCGAGCGTTGGTTTGAGTGTAAAAGTGGGCTCTTGAAGGCCCGGTTACGAGGATAACGGCTCCCGCTTGATACTTCCTCACGATATACCGCGGGATATCCTGGCCAGACAGGCCCTCGAACTCAGGAACGGCGCTCTCGCCCGAGACTTTCTCGCAAGTCAGTCAAGTTGGCGGAGGCCCAGCCACGACGACAAAGGGTCCTGCTTGATAACTCCGCACGATTTACTTCGAGAGCCCCTGGCCAGGAAGGCCCCCGAACTCAGGAACGGCGCTCTCGCTCGAGATGTCCTCGTGATTAAATCAAATTTGTGGAGGCCCAACTACGACGACAAGGGCTATCGTTCGATATTTTCATGATGTATTCGCAGAGGCCCTTGCCAGAGAGGCCCCCGAACTCAAGAATGGCGCTCTCGCTCGAGATTTTCCCGTAATTCAAATAAGTTGGTGGAGGCCCAGACACGGCGATAAAGCTTCCCGTTCGGTATTTCTGAACATGTATTCCGAGATTTCCTGGCCTGGCCAGAGAGGCCCCCGAAGTCAGGAACGGCGCTCGCGCTTGAAAGTTCCTCGCGCTGCAGTCAATGGCTGACAGGAAGATATTTCCCCCGAAAGGGGGTGCGATCTAAAACGAAGTGGGCGGGTATCGAGGGTAGGGGTATACAGACTGCAAAACACGCGTGCCAGTAAGAGCGAGCAGTCTTAAGTTGACGTTGTTGCTGTTGTTGTTGTTGTTGTGGTTGTGGTTGCGGTTGCGGTTGCGGTTGTGGTTGTGGCTGTGGCTGTGGTTGTTGTTGTTGTTGTTGTTGTTGTTGTTGCCCATCGTGGCCCCGTTCAGCCCTTCGTGGCCTCCTCGCTGCCCTTCGTGGCCCTGTTGCAGCCCTTCGTGGCCCCCTCGCTGCCCTTCGTGGCCCCCTCGCTGCCCTTCGTGGCGCCGTTGCTGCCCTTCTTGGCCCCTCGCTGCCCTTCGTGGGCCCGTTGCAACCCTTCGTGGCCACCTCGCTGCCCTTCGTGGCCCCGTTCCTTCTTGCCCCCCTCGCTGCCCTACCTTTCTCCTTCGTCTTCCTGTTTGAGGGGCTGCGGCAATGACACATGTCAGGCAAAGAAGATCTACCCTTCAAGGGTTACAGTCGGTAGCGAGGGTTTAGGATATGCATCTTGAGTGGCACGCGCGCATGTAAGAGCGAACGCTGTTATAATGTCTGTTGTAGTTGTTGCTGCTGCTGTTGATTCCTCTCTGGTCCACACTGTATTTTCCAATTGAAGTGCCCCTACCGGCGCTCGCACCCTTTTTTTGCAAACCAAAGGAAATCTTAAGGCTCAAACGGTGCCCCTGGCCTCCGGGTTACAACAACGGCGGCTCCCGCTTGAGACTTCCTCATAATTTAGCCAGGACCCCCGCTCCCGCCTGAGAGTTCCATGCCTTTTATTCAGGTGTCGCGCTCTCGCTTGGGACTTACATACAATGTATTAAAGCATCGCTCTCTCGGCGCTCTGGAGTCGCGCTCTCGCTGGAGACTTGTTTGCAATTTACTGAAAGATTGTGCCCTCGCGTTTTTTGTTTGTTGTTTTTTGTTGTTTTGTTTCTTTTCTCTACAGCAATTTTCTCCAGCGCCGCGCTCCCGACACTCAGGCACCCAGGAGCCAGAAGTCGCGCTCACGCTTAGGACTCCCTCACAGTTAGTTTAGGAATATGGATCTCGCTGCCCTTCGTGGCCCCCTCGCTGCCCTTCGTGGCCCCGTTGCAGCCTTTCGTGGCCCCCTCGCTGCCTTTCGTGGCCCCGTTGCAGCCCTTCGTAGCCCCTTCGTTGCCTTTCGTGGCCCCGTCGCAGCCCCTCGTGGCCCCCTCGCTGCCCTTCGTGGCCCCGTTGCAGCCCCTCGTGGCCCCGTCGGTGCCCTTCGTGGCCCCGTCGCAGCCCCTCGTGGCCCCCGTCGGTGCCTTTCGTGGCCCCGTTGCAGCCCTTCGTGGCCCCGTCGCTGCCCTTCGTGGCCCCGTTGCAGCCCTCCGTGGCCCTTCGCTGCCTTTCGTGGCCCCGTTGCAGCCCTCCGTGGCCCCCTCGCTGCCCTTCGTGGCCCCATATGCATGCCCCTAGTGGCCCCGCTGTCGCCCTTCGTGGCCCCTTCGCTGCCCTTCGTGGCCCCGTTATTGCCCTCAGTGGCCCCGTCCTTGCCCTCCGCGGTCCAATATGCGTATGCTTTTCGTGGCCCCCGCTCGTTCGCGCCCGTCGTGGACCCATGTGCATGCCCTTCGTGGCCACGCTGTCGCCCTTCGTGGTCCTCTCGCTGTCCTACGTGGCCCAGTTGCTACCCTCACTGGCCCCGTCGATGCTTCCTGTTGCCCCGCATTATCTGCCCTTCGTGGCCCCCGCTCCTTCGCGCTCTTCGTGGCCCCATACGCATTCCCTTCGTGTCCCCGCTGTCGCCCTTCGTGGTCTACTTCGTGCCCTTCGTGGCCCTGCCGTCGCTCTCTCGCTCTCGCTCTCGCTTTCGCTCGTCGTCGTCGTCGCCGCCGTCGTCGTCGACGTCGTCGTCGTCGTCGTCGTCGACGTCGTCGTCGTCGTCGTCGTGGTCGGTCCCCTGTCCGTCCCTCTTGGGGTCGGGTCTGATCAGCGCTGCCGCTGGCCAGGCCGACGGTCCGCGGCCGCCCCGCCGCTTGCCGGGGCCCGGCCTGCAGGGAAGAAAGGTACACGTCGTTCGGAAGAAGTAGGTATAAACATGAAGTAGGAAGGCGGATGTAGTGGATTGGGTCCAGGTCCTCCCAGAGAATAACAAACCATAGCAAAAGCATGCCGATTCTTGAAATAGGAAGGCGCTTGAAATAGATTGGGATCTGGGAGTCCAGAAATACTGCTTTCAACGACAGGCGTGTATACCCCCAAAAGGGGTACGATCGAAGACGAAGAGGGCGGGTATCGAGGGTTTGGAAAATACGCGTTAACGCACAGTCGAGCAGATAATAGCGAACAGTCTTGAAATTATTGTTGTTGTTGTTGTTGCTGCTGCTGTTTCCTTCCGATTGGAGGATGGCAGGGTCGGGCCGCTTCTTCCGTCCCCCGACGCCTTCTGCTGCAACATCTGCAGCATCTGGACGACACGCCGCACCGGGTTCGCGGCGAACCTTCGGGCGCCCTAAGACAGTATGGTGACGGACCGCGCGGTACCTCGGAAGCCCCAACGACCTCACCGCGCGGTCCGTCACCGCACGGCTTTGAATTCCTGGAGGCCCCAGTCGCCCGAGACGTCCTCGGAGAACGACCCGAGTCCCAAAACCGTGCGGTGACGCCGAGCCCCCCACCTGACTCACCACACTGGCCCTCCTCCGAAAGTATGGGTTCCAGGCCATAGCTCTTGTCTCCGGCGGCCGTTCGGGACGATCCGGGCACCCCTGGAACGCCCTCGGCGAGGCGAAGCCGCTGGAAGCCATCCCGAGGCCAGACGAGCCGCCCCGGAGCCGACGAACACGCCCGGAGCCTCGAACCCCCTCTGAGCCTCTCCCCTGCCCCCCCTCGCGTTTTGCTCACCACGCGGTGTGGTCACCGCACCGTTTGGGGGCCTCCTCCTCCTCCTCCTCATCCTCCCCCTCCTCCTCCTCATTCTCCTCCTCCTCCGCCTCCTCCTTTTCCTCCTTCCCCTCGTCCTTCTCCTCGTCCCCCCTCACCTTTTGCTCACCGCGCGGTGTGGTCACCGCACCGTTTGGGGGCCCCCGACCACCGGAAGCCCGAGCCGGAGGCGAGCGCCGGGAGGGCTACCGCCACCAGCAGGAGCGGCGCGCGCGCCGCGTGGGCCCGGGGGCGGGGGCGCGCCATCCCTCTCGCTCGGGGGGCGTCGGCCGACCACCTCCTCCTCCCTCCTCCTTCCTCCTCCTCCTTTCCTCCTCCTCCTCCCCCTCCTTCTCCTCTTTCCTCCTCCTCCCTCCTCCTTCCTCCTCCTCCTCCTCCTCCTCCTCCTCCTCCTCCTCCCCTCCTCCTCCCTCTTTCCTCCTCCTCCCCCTCCTGCTCCTTTCCTCCTTCTCCTGCTCCTCCTCCCTCCTCCTCCTCCTCCTCCTTCTCCTCCTCCTTTCCTCTCCTCCTCCTTTCCTCCTCCTTTCCTCCCTCCTCCTTCCCTCCCTCCTCCTCCTCCTCCTCCTCCTCCTCCTCCTCCTCATCCTCCTTTCCTCCTCATCCTCCTGTCGCCGATCCTGGGCGGGCACGGCCTATTTCAGCCTCGGTCTCGGGGGCGTCCTGTGGGACAGCCGCGCCTGATCGCTCGGAGGGCGGGCAGCGTTCTCCACTGCTCCCGTGCTCCGGCGTGGTGAAAAGGTCGGCCGCGCTGGGCCCAGGATCGGCATGTGTGTCCTCCTGGCTCGGGCAGGGGGGGCCTGTGCGCCGATCCTCTGCCCGAGATCGGCCCGACCAGGGTCGGCGATGCGGGATCGGTTGACGCCCCCCGAGTCCCCCTGCGGCAAGGGGCGCCGCTCACATGCGCGAGGGGGCCCTCGCGCACCACGCTTCGGTACTTGGGGTGCTGATGGGGGCCTGGCAGCCCGAGCCGAGAGTGGCTCTGGACCTCCTCCTCCTCCTCCTCCTCCTCCTCCTCCTCCCCCTCCTCCTCCCCCTCCTCCTCCTCCTCGTCCTCCTCCTCCTCCTCCTCCTCCTCCTCCTCCTCCTCCTCCTCCCCCTCCTCGCCTCCTCCTCCTCCTCCCCTCCTCCTCCTCCTCCTCCTCCTCCTCCTCCTCCTCCTCCTCCTCCTCCCCCTCCTCCTCCTCCTCCTCCTCCTCCTCCCCTCCTCCTCCTCCTCGGCCTCCTCGGCCTCTCCTCCATCTCCAGGCCTCGGCCGCGGGGTCGGTCCTAGAGTGGCCGCCCTGTGGGCTTTTAGACGCGGCCGAAAGAAGGAATCGTTCGTTCCTCTCTCCTCGAGGAGGGGGGAGGGAGGAGGAGGAGGAGGAGGAGGAGGAGGAGGAGGAGGAGGAGGAGGAGGAGGAGGAGGAGGAGAGGAGGAGAGGAGGAGGAGGAGGAAGAGGAGGAGGAGGGGGAGGAGGAGGAGGAGGAGGAGGAGGAGGAGGAGGAGGAATAGGAGGAGGATAACCAGAGCAAACCCAGGATGCATCAACGATGATGTAACGCGTTGTGCGCACTCAGGCCCAATCATCCTCCTCGTGAGTCCCGACATGTATGCCTTCTGACAACGGAAAGAACCCCCCTTGAAAGACGAGTGCCCCACGGGACTGTCATTCATGTGAGAGTCCAGCTCTGAGGAACGCTGGATTCCTAGAAAATTAGAGCGCATGTCAAGCGGGAGCGCCGTTTTGAAAAGGGGCCGCATTCCATCCATATACTTATTGTACAATGTTACATGTCGGGTCGTAACTGCTCAGGACGCCTCAAGCGAGAGTCCCAGTTTGAGAAGGAGCTCCGTTTTCACCCTTGTAACTAATGCGCTCCATGTTTGTACATCGGGCCGCTTTCTTCAACACTTTGATGCGAGGACTCCATTTTGAAGACCACCCGCACTCTATCCGGATGATTCTTGAAACTTTGATAGCGACATTGCGAGGCACCATGGCGAGAACCTCATTTCGAAAACCTGCCGTCTGCTGATATCGTGACTTTCGTACGAATGTGCGCGGTGCTAATTCAGGCGAGATGAACTTTTCAAAACCACCCGCTCTCCTAGACGTTGGGAACTTTGAGAATAATGCGCGCGGCGCTCAGGCGAGAGCAATCTTTTGTCATGCGCCAGCCCTCTATCTGCACAACTGTGGGAACCTTTCTACGCTTTGGGATAAAAGATGGCGAGAAAATCTTCGGCTGGCCGACAAGACAGCCCTAATTACTGACAGGCCTGGTGGCGCGACGAGGAGGAAGAAGTTTGTACAGACGAGCGACGGGAGGAGGGGGCTCCCAAGAGAGCCCCATGCATGCCCAAAAAGCCCAAGATGGGCTACGGGCGCGCGCGGGGTCCTGCACCGATTGTCCGCGGTGTACTTCCTCGGGGGCGGGGGGGATCGTTGCTCCTCCTACTCCTCCTCCTGCTGCTGCTGTCGCTCCTGCTCCTCCTCCATGCTCCATGCTCCATGCTCCATTCTCCGTGCTCCGTGCTCCGTCTTCCTCCTCCTCCTCCTCCTCCTCCTCCTCCTCCTCCTCCTCCTCCCCCTCCTCCTCTACTTCCTCCTTCTAGCGGGCGGGAGGGACGGACGAGCGGACGACCAGCGCTGCGGACAACCGTCCAGGCATGGCCCCAAAGACGCCCCGAGAGGGCTCGAAGAGCCCCCCCCCCCAGAGGGTCCCGAGAGGCCAAACACATTGATTCTCCCAAGGTTCTTGAAGGACTTTGGGGTTCTTGGGCATCCAATCCTCCAAGACGACCCAAAAGGCTTCCAAGGTCACCCCACCAAGGCCCCAAAGGCCCCAAGACTAGGGCCCCGTAAGGCAGGACACGCTATACCAGGACATCCAACATCCCTCGAAGCCACAGTTTTTTTCAGATGGCGCTATGGAACAACAAAAACTGATACTGCAACATTTCTGGAGTAAGCCTGGACACAGGCCCTAAAAGCCTGCCCCCTCCCTCATATCCTTTAAACAACCGAATCCTGCAGTGCAGCAAAACTGCGCTGGACGACAAAGGGTGTCGTTTCCCCGAGTTGCAAATGTCCTGACAACCTCCAAGAGGTTTCCGACAGGTCTCCCAAAAGACCCCCACCGACATCCAATGGGCCTCTGACCTAACCGAAGCGCGGTGGCGGGATGGGCTGGATGCTACTAGATCTGTTTTTTCTCCAGACATCTCTGTCTGTGAAAATATCGGCCACCATGCCTCTGGGCACGGAGTGGGCGTGTCCTCAGGTCCTTTGCCTACTCCTGTAAGTTTCAATTTTCATTCCTGGGCGCGGAGCCTGAATTCTCAAATCTACCGGTGCCTCCCGCGTGCCCCCAGGGCTCCGGGAAGTGCTGCCGCATGACTTTTCGGGCCCGGCTTTTTTTGCCAACCATCCTGTGGCGTTGGGTCCTCGTTTTGAAGCGACGGTCCCCGCGTTCCTGCTCTCTCCTACTCCGCTCCCTCCTCCTCCTCCTCCTCCTCCTCCTCCTCCTCGTCCTCGTCCTCGTCCTCCTCCTCCTCCTCCTCGTCCTCCTCCTCCTCCTCCCTCCTCCGGTCACCCCCCTCACTTTGGCACACCCCTCACACGTTCCATGGCCCCAAAGGGAGCTCAACCGAAGGCCCCAGTGGGGGTGCCCGCATGCGTCCGTCACACCCAGCACAGCGTTTCGTGGCCCCATAGGGAGCTCCACCGAAGGCCCCAGTTGGGGTGCCCGCATGCGCCCGCCACACCCAGTACAACTCTTCGTGGCCCATGGGGAGCTCCACCGAAGGCCCCAGTGGGGGCGCATGCGTCCGCCACACCCAGTACAACGTTTCGTGGCCCCACAGGGAGCTCCACCGAAGGCCCAGTGGGGGTGCCCGCAAGCGTCCGCCACACCCAGTACAGCGCTTCGTGGTCCCATAGGGTCTCCACCGAAGGCCCCAGTTGGGGTGCCCGCCACATCCAGTACAGCGCTTCGTGGTCCCATAGGGAGCGCCACCGAAGGCCCCAATTGGGGTGCCCGCACGCGTCCGCCACACCCAGTACAGCGTTTCGTAGCCCCACAGGGAGCTCCACCGAAGGCCCCAGTGGGGGTGCCCGCATGCGTCCGCCACACCCAGTACAACGTTTCGTGGCCCCACAGGGAGCTCCACCAAAGGCCCCAGTTGGGACCGCCCGCTTGCGTCCCCCCCACCCTGTACAGCTTTTCGCGGCCACATAGGGAGCTCCGCCGAAGACCCCAGTGGCACCGCTGCATCCGCCACACCCAGTACAGCGCTTCGTGGTCCCATAGGGAGCTCCAGCGAAGGTCCCAGTGGAACCGCCAGCGTGCGTCCCCCCGACCCAGCACAGCGCTTCGCGGCCCCATATGGTGGCTCCGACGAAGGCCCCTGTGGCACCGCTCGCATGCGTCTCCACAGCCCGCGACAGCGCGACGTGGCCCTACAGGGAGCTCCACCGAAGATCCCGGTGTGACCGCCCACATGCGTCCGCCACACCCATTGCGGCACGCCCCATTACGCGTTGCGTGGCCCACCAGAAGCGGCGCCCAAAACGTGTTACTCACAACCACATATGGTTGGGCCCTTCGCCAGGATGATTTGTTTGAAAAGCCAACCTGGGAAACACAAGTTTTTCCCAACCATCCTGTGGTGTTGGGTCCTCGTTTTGAAGAGACGGTCCCCGCGCTCCTCTCCTCTCCTCTCCTTTCCGCTCCTCTCTTCTCCTCTTCCTCCTTCTCTCCCTCCTCCTCCTCCTCCTCCTCCTCCTCCTCCCCTCCTCCCTCCTTCTCCTCCTCCTCCTCCACCTCCTCCTCCTCCCTCCTCCCGTCACCCCCCTCACTTTGGCACATCCCTCACACGTTGCGTGGCCCCAGGGTGCCCGCATGCGTCCGCCACACCCAGTACAGCGTTTCGTGGCTTCATGGGGAGCTCCACCGAAGGCCCAAGTGGGGATTCCCGCATGCGTCCGCCACACCCAGCACAGCGTTTCGTGGCCCCATAGGGAGCTCCGCCGAAAGCCCCAGTGGGGGCGCATACGTCCGCCACACCCATTACAACATTTCGTGGCCCCATAAAGGGGGCTCTGCCGAAGGCCCCAGTGGGGGTGCCCGCATGCGTCCGCCACACCCAGTATCACATTTCGTGGTCCTTACAAGGGGGCTCCACCGAAGGTCCCAGTGGGACCGCCCGCATATGTCCGCCACACCCAGTACAGCGTTGCGTGGCCCCATAGGGAGCTCCACCGAAGGTCCCAAGGGCATGCGTCCGCCACACCCAGTACAGCGTTTCGTGGCCCATAGGGAGCTCCACCGAAGATCCCGGTGTGACCGCCCGCATGCGTCCGCCACACTCAGTACAGCGCTTCGTGGCCTCATGGGGGGCTCCACCGTGGGCCCCAGGTGGACCGCCCGCATAGCTCCAGCGACGGTCCCACTGGGAGCGCCCGCGTGCGCCACCCCCACTCAATACAGCGTTTCGCGGCCCCTTATAAGGAGCTCCACCGAAGGCCCCAGTGGCACCGCAGCGTCCGCCACACCCAGTACAGCGCTTCGTGGTCCCATGGGGTTCTCCAGCGAAGGTCCAAGTTGGACCGCCTGCATGCGCCCGCCACACCCAGTACAGCGCTTCGTGGCCTCATATGGGGGATCCACCGAAGGCCCCTGTGGCACCGCCCGCATGCGTCTGCACAACCCACCACAGCGCGTCGTGGCTCCAAAGGGAGCTCCACCGAAGATCCTGGTGGGACCGCCCGCATGCGTCCGCCACACCCATTGCGGCACGCCCCATCACGCGTTGCGTTGCCCACCGGAAGCGGCACCCACAACGTGTTACTCACAACTGCATATGATTGGGTCCTTCACCAGGGTACTTCATGTCTCCAGGAAAATCGATCTTGACATCTTCACGAAACCTGGCGTGGTTCAATGACTTCGGCATGCGCGGGCGCTGACGCGCGCGTGCGGACTTTGCTTATTTTGCC